CACGGGCTTTCGATGCACTGATGCTGTCTGGTCTGTGCTGTGGGTTTTGTTTGCGGAGGGGCTGAAAGTTCTTGGGAGAAGTATTGCCCATTGATGCCCATTGCAATGCATTATCGCTTCTGACAGCATTGTGCCATGTTGAAAACTCTCCAGCATCGGCCCTGGCATCGGCCTCTGCCATAGCCAACCCTGGCATCGGCCTCTGCCATAGCCAAACTGGTTGGGCGCAATAGATATCCTATAGAGCACAAAAAAGGCCCAAGATTCAAAGTCTGCAGCAATGGTAGTATGCGAGCAGTGCTCAGATCCCAGTGTGCCCTGGGGATTTGTGAGTTCCGAATTCACGCGAGCTGTCCGTACCAACTCTGAATGCTTCAGCTTTGAATGGGAAACGCCAAGCACTGCTATCAATTACCAAAAATTGATGCGACCCTCCCAGTAAGCTTCTCCCCAAGTGATTGCCGAGATTTAACAGAAACCGATGCGACTAAGGACCGTGACTGTAAGTAGGGGGTCCCAGTATAGACGTCAGTGTACCAGAATCCTCATTTGAACTTGGGAAGCCTCATTGGGGTTACGTGCTTTGGGGATGAAGAGGAAGTGAGCAGGCCTGGCGTATTGCAACACATTCTTTGGAGGATGTAGGTCTTCGTGTCACTTGAGTAGTGTATCTAACCAAGTAAGATTATGCCCTTCTTATCTTTGCTTTTCGATGCATTAAGTCCGTCGCTGCCTAATTAACTGCAAGGTGAAACCTAGAACAAGGAGTGGAAATCGGCGAGTCCCAGAAATCACGAGGTGCTCTAAGCCATCCCAGCACCCGCTCCAGACACAAGGAGGCAGAAGGCATGGCTGCTGATCCTCGATCTATGCCATCGGAGCACCCCGGCGGCCAGTCGCCATTATGCCACCCTTCGCATAAGACAACTCTGCGACCCTGATCGAAGGAAAAGTTGATGCCTTCTTCTATGGTTGCAATCCTCTGCCATGGCCCATCGACAGAAGGCCTATCCGCCGGTGGTTGCCTCCAGAAGCAGTCAGCTAGCATGTCCTCAACTTGAACACGCTGAAAGACACTTGCAAAGTCCCCTTTGTAGAACTGCTTAACACCTTCACAGATTCCAACTATCCCCGGTGGCTCCAGCGCAATGGTTGCTTCCTCCGCACCTGAAGCAATCAACTGAAGTTCTTCTGGGAAAAGAGGGAAATCCGTCAGATGCAAACAGAACTCAAATATGCAATCCTCAGCCCCCTTGTTGGGTTCAAGCAGCGCTCAACGCCCCCAAGAAAAGCAGTCATCATCATTGAGCTTTCAGCGAATAGGGTGTCGCCTTTCAAGTCAGCTTCCGCAGTGCACTTCGCCTCCGTTGGAAGCGTGAGTCCAAGATCACGCCGGCAGACTTCAACCCACTTGGCACTTCCAATGCCAGGAAGGACATCATCCTGCCAGTGGCCAGCTGCAGATAGCTCATCACAGCATTTACGGTTGTCAAGAAGGTGCAAAGCCAATTGTTGATTGTTACGAAAACATCTTCCACTGGCGTGGCACTCAAGTCCGAAGGCAAAATGTCTGAATCTTGCGACCTTATCATGCATCTGAAAGAAATGCGTAGCAAGTGCAGCTTTTGTAGAGAAGCAGCGGCAGCAAGGTCCACACCAACAGGGCTGGTGAATAACACGCCCTTCCTGCGGCGCAGCAGTGTACTCCCAGGCACCAAGATACCTCAGAGTCCTTCAAGCCAGCCTTTCGATGCGGTCCTGCTCACCAGCTCGTAGTCCGGCTTGTCGAATTTTTTGCTTAAAGCTGCCGTGGGAGTTATAGAGATGAACAATCGCCACTCTTCCCACGACTGGCCGTTAGAAGCGGGCAGGGGAGTCTGGGCATACTGCCAAAACCAGCGAAGGCCGTCGCAGACTTGCCGCGCCCATCTGCATTCAAGCCGTATGATCGCCCAAACATCTGAGTCCCCAACTGAAAGGACAGTAGCTAAGAATCCGAAGCGTCTCATTCTGCAGACAATGTCAAAATCAGGTACCCCCAATATGGCTGCCATGTCTTGACAACGGACGTGTTCAAAATCCTGGTCTTTGCTGCCATCTCTCAGCAGCCGTCCAACAAGCAAAGAATAACCATTGTACAAATGATTCCAGCCTTTGCAGCAAGGTGTCCATAATGGGAGATTGAAGAAAACTCCTCCAACAAGTGAGTCAAAAAGCTGAAGTCGAATCGCCAGAGAGATGGACTTGTTGAGGAGGAGCATCCTTCCATACTTTTTGAAGGCAGATGCCGCAATGCCAAGTTGCAGCCTTGCCTCAGGCAGAAGGGAGCCGTCACGATGTAGAACAGAGCCCAGATGAGTGTACTGAACTTCAAGGTACAACTGAACAACCCTTCCAGCAGTCAATTGAACATCAATAGTGTCAGCAGCTTCACGAAAACATGCTCTGCGTGTTGCACGACTATGCTTGCCTCGCAGCGGCCGATTTGCCCCTCTTGAGATTTGGTGCCATACCATGTCTGCCACATTCATCAAGCACAAGGGCAGCCAGTCTACGTGCCTTCCGCAACGCCTTCCAGGCCGATACATCTCCAGTAAAAAGTACAACGTCGTCAGCCCAGGTAGCATGAATGGGACCCACAACAGCGCGGCCGACATCAGCAGTATCAAAAGGCGTACATGTCCCCGCAGAAGGAAGCGTGATCAACGCTATAGCTTGTTGATGAATCTCGGACAGAACCTTATGACACACGAATGCAAATACAAGGTCAGCCCACGACTCACCTGGGCGTGACCCCGCATGAGATGGGGCCACTTGTTCCCGCCAGTATACGGAGTGACGAACCATGACAATGCGTGGATGTCCTGAACCAAAGCACGAAGGTAGGGATCCATGCCAGCATTTGCCATAGTGCCTCCTGCCCTTACAACAGTCATGAGCTCAGTAAGGGCATCAGGAGGAACACCAAACCTC